CGGGTTCGAACCACGGACCTTCCGGTCAGTAAATTCGCGCCCCAACCAACTGATCTTACTTACAATGTTGTTATACTATCGCATGCGCTTTTCTGGACAATGTTTACTTCAGGTGTATCAGCAGTTTGGTCATGTGGAATTTTTGGGTATGCACACATTCGTAAAGCGGAGTGGGACCAATAGGGTCAACAATGTTCCCATGGTTATCCAATATTTAGATTGGAAAACCTTCGGTAAGCATTTGGTGAACTTATCGCCTCTTCAAGCACAGTAGGACTTATGACTTTACTTGCTCACGGCCCAGATAGCCCAAGCAAGCATATTGGCTGTTGGTCCCAATGTGCTTGTGTTGTGATGTGACTCTACGGAGCCACGAATAGTACGCGTTTTTTACTATGATACAAGTAGCATAACACTATGGGTATACGCTCGGAAAACGGTCATTGTGACCGTATTCACTTACTTCAACAATGCCCGCAGGTCGAAATGCCTCTAAATGACATAAAAGCTACCAATGCAAAGAATGTTTCGTGCGAGCTACACCGTAGCTTACAAGCAAACGATTGTAAGAACATTATCTGCGTCGAAGTGATGAAACTAAATTCCTAGTAGACCAGGCTGGTCAACCGGTTCGTTGCCACATTCCCTGTGACCCCCCAATAGGGGGTTGGCTCTTAACCGCAGTTGAGATGTTCGTCCTGTAATTGGATCCAACCTATGTCGAAAGGGAGACAAGCACCGTTTCACCCTTGATGAGGATCACCGACAGTGTATATCTCACAGACCTCCAAGGAGATTTGAACTCGCAAACTACCGGACAGTAGTTGAAAGGCATACAGCTCAAACACAAGGGGCTAATCAGCAATGTGATTGAACTGGCCCGAAATCGCTGAGTTGTAGCACCCTTTCGGTGTCTAGCTGCCATGCCACCAGAAGGAAGGCTGGGATACTGCCAGGCTGCCCAAGCCTAGACACGGGAAATTGAGAGACAGAGGTCAGGTTCGAACCACGGACCTTCCGATCAGTAATTCGTGCTCTAACCACTGGGCCATCTCGCCCACAAAGGTTGCTTCATAGTCATGTACCATACTCACGTGTTGTGAAACTAACCTGAACTCGCTTCATCAAGTAGGCGACCCCGAGCAACAGCATCGAGTGGCTTTGAAGGGTGAGCCAACTTGAATTTATCATCAACCAATGGGGCATCGTTTACTTCAGGTTTGACAGTGGGATCCCGAACACAAAGTGGATTGAATACAGGCATGTAGCCGGGAGGTAGCCGAATCACCGGCGTATCATGGGCGAACAACTCCAGTTGTGACGCGTCCGAGCCGGTTGTGAAACCAGGAATAGTGGCGACGCCAGTGAAACTTGCGGACTGTCGAGCACCTGAAGAAAGACACGAAAAGCATGAAGAATGATTGGTAGGAAGGCGATCAACCAGATAGATACAACAGAATTACGCACTTCGACAAGTCTTAGCTACCACACACATTCCCCTCAAAGGACAACGAAAAGTCTTGCAATGTCTGAGACCCATTCGATCAATACGAAAGTTCTATTCTATTCATCATCATCACCGACAGCATGACATCAGTGTTCAACACCGATGCTTCACTGTCGTACAACCATGGTTTATTTGGAAGCCTTATTGTAAAGAATAGTGTAAAGATGAATGCAGAAGGGACTTACTGCTAGCTTACCACAATCATTCCGAGGTGCCTACACCTCCAGACATTCACTCAGGCAATCTGGATAGAAACTGACAACAAGAACGCCACTGACATCGGTTGGCAGCCATATCTTGTAGTGTCTCCAAACAGGCACAGTGAGGATCACGCGGTCCCCATCCTGGAAATCCGGTAGCACCGACAGCACCAAAGCGCTTCGTGATCTCTTTCATACTCCTTTGCCGAGTCAAGATTTGAACACCTCTCTGTTTACGCCACTCTGAATTGGGCATGGAAAACGGCACTCTCTTCGGCAAACGATGATTCGGCATACGCAACACCTGTCCCAACCAAAGCAGCTAGACACATCCTCCAATGGAAATACCCGTTACACAACCGAAAACGCGCTCTCTAACTGCCTCGTTACGGATTCGCTGACACCAACCCACACGAGCTATGGTTCTGNACACACGTCCTTTCAGATTCAGGGATAAACCATTCTGACGCCATAGGTGTTTCAAGTTAGCAAACGCGGCCCGCGCCGTGCAGATTCGTGCATTCACCTCATCTGTCACACTGCAATCAGAACTAATACAACTTCCAAGGTACGTAAAACGCTCCACAACTTCCAGTACCTCTCCCTGGATTGTAAGGGGCGTTTTCAGTGACTGCACGTCCACGAGCATGACCTTACACTTTGTGGGTGCAAAGTGCATATCAAAGGACGGGATGACTTTGGTCAGTTCGTCCAAGAATCCTTGCGTCTTTTCCTCCTCTTCGAACATGAGAAGGATGTCGTCTGCATATTCCAGATCGACAAGGTTTTCTTCACTGGCTATTTGAACACCAGGGTTTTGGAGACCCTCCAGCGTTCGTCTCATTATTTCATCGATCACAAAGTTAAAAAGGAATGGAGAGAGTGGGCATCCCTGACGGACACCGCTTTGTGTGCGGAAGCTTTTGGAGAGCTCTCCGTACACTCTCACACGTCCGTTCTATTATCACAATCTGGTTGCACGAATCACAGTGATTCAGAAAAACTTTCAAAAGGTTCCATGCAACAATCCAGATCAGAACAAGAGCTGATCAACGACGAATTAATCAATGCGGCTCCCATATTAGCTATTGAAAACCTAAACGGTGAAAACTTGTGACATTTAGGTCTCAGAATACTCGAATTAAGCTGCCCACATCTAGAGAGGTACACCAAGGTGAACGGACGTAAGGAATGAACAGCCAATCCTCGTACAAAGCAACGATGATCGAATACTGTGCCTCCAATTGCGGTAGATGTGTATACGGCTGAAACTCATAGAATGTTCCGGTCGGCTTATCATGTGTAACCACTTGAAAAACGTCCACAAAGCCAAAGGTTTTACCTGACTTGTTTGAAGGTGCCGTCCAACCATCAAAGGTTTTCTGTCTTACAACTTTCGGAGTAACATTGGACTTTCGCGCACCGGATGATTTGGACCAACGCCCGAGTCTCGCAGCTTCCATTTCCGCTTCCTCATCATCCTCATTGTCCTCTCCCTCGGATGCAGCACCGCCAATTTCCCAGTCGTAGTCGACGAGCTGATCGTTTGTGTACACATCTTCGTCTTCAACTTCCAAGGCACCAACACCAAAAGCTTGTCCTAAAATTGAAGTACAATCCGTGAAGTTGGATAGGTGTACTTTTATGTAAAGCAAAAATTAACTTTGGGTGCAAGTTTCAGAGGGTTGTCAAGACTGCAGGAGAGAAGTGATTGATTGTAACTAGTGCATGCTTGACTGATGGTGAACGGGATGACGGTGTCCAAGGTAATCGGGTGTGGAATAAGCGTACTTGCTCCACTCCAAGCCGAATAATAGGCGACGTTGGAGGTACCCTGATGGTACTTCGGAGCCAAGATGTCATTCACAGATGCATTTCTAGGTCTCCTAGGGAAATCAGACCTTAGCTGACTGTGCTACCGAATAGTGGGTATTTGCGCGAATAAAAATTCCTCTGCAAAGAGAATTTTATAAAATAAAAAGGGTAGACTAGTGATCAGTTTGGATATGGTTCCAGCTGAAAAAAGAGTGCGGCTGCACTTTCACACTATACCAGCGTCCTGCCACTCTTTAGGCTCCTGATTAGCTAAAAGAGCTGCACGCACCGTTGTGGTTGCTAGCTACTGGATCGCATCGCACGGCTTGGCAAAAAGCCCTAATGAGTTCTTTTAGTGTCAATTAACGTTCGCCCTTCGCGTCATTGTATACTTAAGAGGACTTTTGAACCAAAGCACTCGATGTTGTCGAGCCACAAAAACCCGTTGGGGTTAGTAAACTAAATGAATCTACATCAGTGTGTGATGTAGATGTAAAGCGGATCGATAAGCAAGCCGGCAAAACGACATGACCGGAATCTGATTGTACATCCCGGAAGGAAGAGCATTCTTCAATTCGGGCTATCCACCTGTAACCGATGGCCGAAAGATACAGGTAAGTTTATGACTAATTTGAGAATGGAAGTCTCAGAGCAACACAGTATGAACGTTTGTATTTAGGACTCATGCTGACCAGCAACGGATGCTGAGACAGCCGCAGCCCAGTCGACCACATGACCAGTATCGACTTCAGATCAGTTACCACGCTTTCTTTGGGCCTCCTCATCCAACAGGAGCGTCTCCCTGCAGGATGATTTCTTTCTGAAGTAGTCGTGATATATCTCGACGAAAAAACTAATCTTTCTAAGCTTCAGAGATGCCGTCTGCAGGGGGTGTATCCCAGTGCAACAAGCAAACACCGTTCACCGCATCGCATTGCACTGAGTCAGAGAATTGTACCGCAAAAAGGATACTGCCTACTGAAATCCAATCCAATAAGGCGTCTTCAGTTGTAGGTGCCATCAGCCGTTGCATCAAGACCACTCAATCAACCAGTGGAGAGCAACTGATGGAAAATCCAAGCTCTTCCTATGTGGTCTGGGGTGCATTACAGAACTAAGGTCTTGTATGCGTGCTTCAGAGACACGGCAGAAATTGGTAGAAATGTAAAACAAGAATGTCAGCGCCCAATCTTTGAGGTTGTCAGATTTTTTTAGTATAGTGTCGGGTCATTCTCGTTTAGGTACGGAATCGACGCAACGGACCACCTGAAGGATGGAAAGGATGCTAATGGGAGTAGGTGAACAAAGAGATTCAAGTGCAAACGATAGTTTCCGGTTGGTAAAGTCGAGAAACATACTGTAACTGAGGGAACCCACCTCGAGCACTCGACTCAAAAGTATGGCACGCAAAACTGAGGGTAGTAGGATTCTCTGGAGAGGCCTGTCCGGAACCAATAACCTAACTGGTTGCGGAGAATTGGCCTAACCCGAAGGCGCTCAACATAAGCGCTTTAAGCGGCAGTGGGTTCTCGAAGAATTATTGTTGTACCTCAACTGCATAGGGTACAGTTCGCCAGTGATTACTGTCGACGTTGAACGATCGGAGTGTTGAGTTTTAGGGCAGACCTTTGCTAACCGGTTCTTTCTCTGGAAAAAGCAGCATCGCCACCAATATGGACATACTAATCGCCCACAGGTTTCACGATCCAACCGCAGAACAGCACGGCTTTAACCGCTTCGTACTACGCATACCCGCAATTGGGGCTTGCTGCCCCCTTTAGCCTTCGTAGCGTGATCAAATCTTGTGGAAGCCTGCTACAATACTGCATCAATCAAGCCCAACCACCCCGTCAGTATGTCTGGTAGCTTTCGGTTTGGAGATCGTGTGTATTTGATAAATAGATGAGACGGTGGATCAATGGAACGACTATTCGAATACTGGTTAGCGTGTCAGCTGAAAAAGCGGTCACAAATAAGGTGAAAGAGAACTCCTACTTCAATAATTTGACGATACATAAAATGTCCCAAAAACACTACAGAAATTCCGGTGAAACAACAAGTAATGCTCCGGCGTCCGAACTACACTTACATATGTTAGTCAGAAAGGCGGCGACAGAGCGTACAAATTCTGTCTAAGAGGAAAGCCGACAACCATGGAGTGCATATAAACTGTGAGAGGACAGCAAGTACATGGTAAGGAGCCAAATTTACCTCGAATACCGGCCCGCACTTGACCTGCACGTGGGTCAAATCCGAATTGCATACTCCCCTGTCGCTGAAGTAGAGCGGCAGCAGACTCCTCGGGATGACGGCCTGCGAGTGTGGGCTGTCGCCGTCCCATGGCAACATCAGGGTTGAGGCCGGAATAGCCCAGACCGAACGTGTTCGCTTTCGCATCAAAGCAAATCTTTGTGTACAACAGGGCACCTTAATCACGGGTGGGGGTGATGAAGCAAGATGACAAATCAAAAAGCACTCTTGATTGTGTATGTATCAAGCCAACAGCAGATTCATGCTACTAATTTATGACATCGTTTTGTCAAAAGGAGAAAACGGCACAAAAACTGTATTAATCCAAAAAACTCACGAAAGTTGTCCATTCGTTACAAGCCAAAATGGCTGAACCGAAATGGTACTCATAGGACTGGTGAATCTTCCCAAGAGCGAATTCAGCTCCCTGACTATGAGGAAGTCCAGAAAGCTTCCTCAAGTCTAGGTTAATCATACTTCTGGGTCGTATTCCCCGCTGACAAAAAGTTGCCGCACTGTGTCCGCTCTTAAACCCGATCAGATCCAGTTATACCCTAAATCCAAGGTTTTCTTTGAGCTCTAAACCCGGAGGTACTGTCCCGGAAACTGTCCAACAAAGTTTTCGATGAAGTACGTAGCCAAGAATGCCGAGTTTAACTCAGCACGCTCTTATGCACAAATACTGTCTCTATTCACTAATGACAGTGAGATTTCGCTCTCCACGGCTAAATTACCTCAAACAAACCGCTGTTTCGCTTTTATCGCAGCTTAGCTCATTGATGAATGTTAATCACAACCGACAGAGCTGCAGTCATGACTTTGAACTAACGATGGCCAACACGCACATTCACTGCAACTTCAAGGTTGCTTATGAACTAAGTCTTTCGCAGTAGCCAAGTGCGCAGTACAGTGATTTGGGAACCAGAAATTGATCAGAAATTCAGTTGGTAGGTACTACGTGTAAAAATCCGAATGCTTGTAGTTGAATGGGAGAGACAACTACCACCAAATAGCACGTAGCGTTCTGCCTATTACATCTGCGTAATATGGAACAGAAAAGTAGGGATGCTAAAAACGTGTAAATGAACCGATCCATTCGTGTCCCACAGAAGCGACACATGAAACTGCTCGCTTGATTCCCAATGCCGGCTACTTCTGGGGTCCACTAGCAGCAACGGTGAGAACGCTTACAGAGACGCAACTTTGACCGTTCTACTTAGGTCGCGAAACCAAAATCAAGAAGAGTCGTCGATAGGATGTAAAAACGATCAAAATGTTCCCTGACTTCAAAGACGGGGCGAGATGGCTCAAGAAGGTCCGTGGTTCGAACCTAACCTCCGCCTCTCGACTTCCCCTGTCTAGGCTTGGGCAACCTGGCAGTATCCCATCCTTCGGATGGCATGGCAGCTAGGCGCCGGAAGGGTGCTACAGCTGAACAACGACGACTGACTTCAAAGCCAAACTGAACACTGTGTTGTGCCTACTTTGCTAGACGTTTTCTCATTCTATCGATCCGGGAGGCACGTGTCCGTCAAAAAGGAAATTTCTGATGTAAGCCATAAGAAACAAAACAAATGGTCCATCAATGATCGCGTGTATGGTAGCCCCAGTTCCACATCGACCCGTACATCCGATATCAATTTACAAGACGAGATAGTACACGGAAAGTACAAATACGTTCAAAAAGAACATGAAATTTTAAACAAAACATTTCAAATATGGACCAGTTTGTTGCTCAGCACGGAAGAGATGAATTCAACGCACGAAACACGACCAGGTGTTATATCTTTGTAATGTACTACTCATAAGGTTGCTGGAAATCCGTCGACAGCCCACGACCGGTTTCGCCCTTCTTGGGGCTCATCTTGTAGGCGCAGTCCCCGGGTTTCCGTCAACCTTATGTTCCACTTGAAACCAAATTGCACGAAATTAGCGAATATACACTCATTTGCAAACTAATTTGGTTCTTTCGAGAGACTCACCTGGAACCCAGCTGAATCTCTCGTTTATGATGTTCTCAGGCAACTGAATGTGCTGCACCAGGTGTTATGTTACAAGAAGGAAGCGACAACGACACAAAAAAGGAACCACCTAGTTGTGCAGGTCAAAACCAAAGATCTGGGCAGACCACACTGAAACTGGAACGTATCAGTCGACGTTCCCACTAATCCAGACTAAGCAAGCGTGATGGTTCTTTGTTCAGGACCAGTCGTCACTTAATCGATCGGTAGTGGAGGCAATCTTTGTTACTGAGTAAAATGACTGTCTTGTTGGCGTCTTCGTTGAACAGCAGAACTAGCGGAAACAAGCAAGGTAACGAACAATGATACACTGGTCCATTTTCTCCCAAAATCAACAAATATGTTTTTGTGGGTTTCACCTCCGTTACTTGGAACGTGTGTAGGGCTCAGTCGGATAAACTCGGCGGTGTAAACGACGGCTGTAAATGATATTGATGCTCGGGTTCTTTTATCGTCCAGCTATAGCACACTTTCGGTGCCTAACTGCCATGCCGCCCGAAGGTTGCACGAGGGCTGGGATACTGCCAGGTTGCCCAAGCCTAGACAGGAAAAGTCGAGAGGCAGAGGTCGGGTTCGAACCACGAACCTTTCGATCAGTAAATTCGCGCCCTAACCACTTGGGCCATCTCGTCCACGCATACTGAACGGAACGAGTGGAACTTGGTTCAGTTATACCCTTATTTATTTATTGTATGTCAACTTATGCAGACGATGTTGGATGAATTCGGGTTGAATCTATTATCTTTGGAAACGGGAACCTAAAGGTAAAAGTCATTTCCCAAAAGTCAGGTTTATTTGATATTTTTCTGACACACTGACGTACCTGAAGCCTCTTCCTTCGCCGATGTTGACTTGGCTTCCGTAGTCTCTGGAAGAGATGTCGAACCAACTGATTGATCGGCTTCTTCGGCGTCGAGGACGTAGGCTTTATCCTTCCAGCCCAATTTTCGAAGAAGCCGATCAGCCAACGGACCCCTGTGTGCGGAAACAGAAAGAATTATGAACCAAGGGACAAAGTAATGGTGCGTATATGATCCGATTTCTTCAGGGTATCTTTACTCACTTTGACAACACAATGAGGTCTTTCAAGATAGAGCCAGCGCCGGGTATGACTGACTGACCTCCAAGAGCAACCTTGAGCGTATCGCGGATATGAGTGTCATCGAAAGTATGAGCCATTTTGATTCGTCTTGGGGCAATTCCATGTTCTCCAAAATCCTGGTGAGATTACAGCAAAACAACAAAGACGATAAACTCAAATGTGTAGCGATTTTATCAACTAGGGTCACACAGAGAAGTGACAACCCACCTAGAACCCGAGCCTTGTTTCTCCTTGAAAAGTTGGTCTGACTTCATCTACAGAGGAGGATCTGTATTCACGGGCGATGAATTAGGTTACAACTTTATGGAAGGAACCATCGCTGATATGTCTAGGTAGGCTGGTTATCGACGCACCACGCTCGTGGTGTGCAGTCCGTCTTACGTCGGTTCCTCGCACTTCAATGGCAGAGTGCCAGTAAGTTCCCAATAGTGGACTAGATTTCCACTTCTCTAGCATGATGAAACTGCCAAGCTTGACTGTCTCCCTCCATCATCAATGCAACAACTTGGCGTCTGATGCGTTTACGGGTTTAGTTGTACTCACAGTTCGGGTGGCTACTAACTCCGAATGCGGAAATGTCCCTATTCAGTGGAGCGTTTCAGGCTGTTGGCCGGCGACTGGGGATGCAGGGCAGAGGCCGATTAGGTCTGAGAACGTTTGCGAGCCTATGGTTGCCAACCAAGCCAGGTCAACCATTTAGTTGAGTCCATAAAATTGAGCGGTGGTTTCCGTGAACACTAACAGCAAAACCACGCGCTCCAGCATGACTTCCAATGTTGTATATATGCGGCCACGACCACTGATCGTAACAGGATATCTACCTGAATCCACGGACACCCCACTCCGACATGAAGCTCACGAGTGTTTATTTTGATGTATATGTATATGTAAAGGCATAGGTACCTTATTCTTCATTGTTTTCCCCAACGGCATAGGGCTTATTCGCACTACGTCTCCTTTCTTATCTTTTCTCACCACTCTTTAGTAAGAAGCCCCTGAAATTCTACCAGAACGAGCACGTACGGACCAATGGCCGTCAAATAGCAAGGCGTTGTTGTCCGCATAGCCTAAGTCCATCAGTCATTAGCTAGGTATGATTCAGACAGCAACAACTCAGCTCCTCTAAGAATGGTATTAATACTCATTGGAATATCGATGACAAATCTGAACAGAAAAGGAGAACAAGGGCAATCCCGCCAGACCCCAATAGTTGTAGGAAAGCTCTGGAACAGCTCGTTGTAAGCTCGCACACCACGAGGAGTGTGAGAATGCAAAGCAAGAGGTATTTTCACAAAACTCAGGGTCAGCCTTTCCTGGGCAAGTACATGTGGAAGATCCGGAGCTCCTGTGAAGTCGAGGAAAACGGTTGTTGCCAAGTAGTCGAGATGTCAAGGTTGGGTTCGAATCAGCCACCTTCCGGTCGGTAGACTCGCGCCTTAACTACTGAGCTATCTCGAGATCAATAGTTTCGGTTGGTGAGAAATGTCATTAAACGGGTAATAGAACTCAGCGCTCAAATATGCCAAGTAAAGGAGGAAAGCACAGGCAAATCTCGGTCACAAGACCTGGTCGTTCTGAAGGTCTACTTACTCACGTGAGCAAACAGCAGGCTGATGTGCAATGTTCTTGCTTACCACTTACAGCTTGTTATGGATCAGCACTGTTTCAACTTCAGATATAATTTCTTATCATTATGTAGACGTGGTACACTACTTATAACGTTGATTAAAACCTTTAGAAATCTCACGGCCGCTTTCGCCCTTCCTGGGGCTCATCAGGTAGGCGCAGTCCCCGGGTTTCCGTCAACCTTACGTTCTAATTGAACCCAAACTGGACAGATTTCGACAAATATACTCATTTGCATATCAATCCGGTCTTCAAGGGAGACTCAACTGGATCTCTACTTTATGATACTCTAAAGAAACTAAATGTGGTGCAACAGGCGGCCTCATGCTTCACTTCGTACGATCCACCAGTATTGTCGCGTCTCAGGTGCGAAACCGAAGCTTTCGGACAGTGTAAATAAGTGAACATAAAAGAACACCATAAGCGGGAGATTCAGCTTGGATTCAGCTACCTCGCATGAGATGCAAATGAGTGCGTTACGCTAATTTCGTCCAGTACAGGTTCAAACGGAACGTAAGTTCGTGGGCCGTTGAAGAGTTTTCGTAAAACTCATGAGTAGTGTACTGTGTTTAAACAATCTAGCTAGGGTAGAACGCAGAGATACACTATCGCCCTTGAGTAGCGCTTATGGAGGCTTATCTGACTGGAGAGCTCGATGGCACTTCTAAGCAGAAACACGAACCAGTACCCCATCAACTTGGGGGGCTCTAAATGCACCAACTACGGTTTAAGCGGGTCGGATAAAAAAGGGCATAAAAGACGACGCCCACATGAACTGCTGTTGGGAATATTCTGACTAGCGATAGAGACGCTGGTTGCCATCATATATTAGATTTTGAACATTACATTTGGTTAGCATATGGGCAGACGTTGACCTCGCTGTCGTTTCACAGGCTCATTGGAACAGCTTAAGTGAATTTCTCGCCACACTAGTATCCCCTATTTTCTTTCAGCTTATCGATTCCACCACTATTTCCTAATTACACAGAAATTTCATTCGCGTTGACGTCCAGCAGACCATTTGGCCAGATCATGGCGCGGTACCGAAGGCATAGAAAGCCTTGCACCGAGATCTAGTGTTTGACTTGTGGGCGCCAAGATCCCAGCGTCAAATATGGCAGTTGCTACCTCTTTACAAGCGTGATTTATGTCTTGTAAAAAGGCCATTTTCAAAGCGTCACATGGCACGTTATGACATGTTTGCTCAGAAAGCTTTTCGACTGTTAAACGAGAATTTGCCTCCTTGGGTTGGACCACAATTGTGGTATATGTTACAAGAAACAGGTGCCCCTATTTGTCCCAACCTCAAATTTGTGCTTATCGGATCTCCGTGCACTGATTTGTCCCAACGGAGAGACACCGTGGATGTCGCACTGGAATGCTCTAGTGTACCTCAGTGGAGTACTGAGATACGCAAACCGTCGCACCAGACCTGTGTTAGTGATCCGACCATCCTGAAGCCTAATAATGGGAAAGCGTTCCGGCGATGCAGTGCTACTGCACGAAGTTATACCAGGTAGATAAGATGTCTGAAACAATCAATATCGACCACACTTACGTGAACAAAAAATTAACAGAGACGAGCGCCTTACACTTGAGTAGTAGATCGATCTGACTCACACATATTCACATCAATAGATAGGGTCCATGGTCTTCGCCCCAATTAGATCATAGAACGGTCAAGAAACATTGGTCAGTACCTCAACAAAGGCTATTATCAAGAAGAGTGAAACCGGTCATGGGCTGTCGAAGAATTCTTAGCAACCTTATGAGTGGCGCATTACGCATATACAAGCATCAAATGAGTACAAAACAAGTTCACGACTCACCTCTTCATCCATAAAATCTTCCGGACGCTGGACCGCTTGCTCTTTTGCATCACGCTGTCTTGTCTTACGTGATGAATGAAAACTTTGCGGTTGAAAACCTGAGGAATGGAGATGCGGGAAACATTAAAAAAAACCCAAGATACACAAACTCCAAGCTCTAACCGAATTTCTGAGGGGTGATCATCAATCCAATGTCTTTTGGTAGAGGCAATCATAATATCACATCATAATATCAGGGGAACTTTCATACCAGTGAAAGAAGGAAAGCCCTTCACCGAGAAGTCGCTTATTGGCAAACAACAACTAAGCAGTTACAAGCTATGGGATGGGAAAGTGAGCATCTCATATTCGCTCGGTTTTTAAAAACCTCACATTCTCAAGCGTCTTCTTGAACCTCCATGAGTATCCATTGACTATTAAACAAGTGTAAACAAACATTGCAAAGCAGTTCCACAAGTTCCGTAATAAAATTCACCTTGCATTCGACGCAGGGCAGAGTTTCGACACGATCACAGACTACTCGCACGGCTCATCAGTACTGAACGCTGTTACACCAGGATAAAAGGAGTTTACAGCACAGCGAGCGACAAGCCATGAATAACAACTCAGTGAAATCCGAGATTTCCGCGTAGTCAAGTTCCATCAAAAATCCGCTATATGGAGTACCAGCTCTCGCAACAAATAAAAATGTTATATTCAATCTTGATCTAACCTTTCTGTGAGTGGTAGGATCAGCACACTGAAAGGGAAACTGATCAGAAAGACGCCTTCCGACTCTACATACGATGAAACAAGCTTAAGAAAAACCATCACAAGTACCTGATTAACTAGTTGTAATCATCGCCTTGTATAGAGCTTATTCTTCGAAGACGGCAAAAGCAGCTGAGCAGTCGGTGCGAACGCCACCAGAATTGTCCTAATCAATTTTTGACGATACTACTAGGTGAAACTGAGTAGCACATATTTTAAATTAGGACTATCTGAGTCTGCTGATGAGGAAAGTCGTCCACTTTGGTTGTTGAGTTGACGGTTTACTAACGAGTTACTGGTTCGTTGGTTGAGAGACAGATAAAATCCAAGAAGCCAAGAGGCAAACGTAACACATGATGGTGTCGTTTGTATCCGTCGTCAGCATTCAACAAATAGCATTTTGTTTCCGGTTTTGGCGGTAGTGTTGTTACGAATATGAACCATTCTGCCCTGTATATTTATCGCACACAAACGTGTGGGATGGCAGGCTGTACACCCCACTGCACATGCTAGGCGCTGTTGTGGCATTCCCGGGAGAGCTCACTTAATCCTCTGCGGTCATATAATACGTACTAAATGGCAGGTCTGTCCCTATCAGAGACTGTTCATGTTGAGTAATCTGATTCAGCCAGCCCTGATACGCGCCGTGCGATCACGCTTGATGTTGTATACAGCTAGACAGGAGTGTATATTCGCAATGCACACATACCTGCCCTGCTATATCTGCCCAATCTTCTTCATGATTGGACTAATTATCGCATAAATTACCATCGTGATATCAAACCTTCGGGTTCACGATGAATGAATCGTCCGTATCGCTTTGCATCTGCTTCATTTAACTCTGGACGTAAAACATAGCAGAGAGGAAATTCAAAGCAAATTTACCCCTTGTATTCACAAATTCCATCGATTAATCTACGACTATTTGCCGACCGTCATAAAGGGCCAGTGAAAGTCACGCAAATAGCTTTTCGGGTGAGAAAGAGGTGGCCGAAAAACCGAGCCAAATTCGAACTTCGGTATACTCGGTCTACAGCCAACGTTTTGGACACTACTCAACTAAATTACGACGGCTCATCACTCAAAATGGTCAATTCACCATGTGCCCTACTTGCGAGGAAATCCTCCGGTTCACGGACGTCGTTGAATGGACATGCAGTTACACAAAACGCCACTTACAATCCGAGAAGACACCCGAGGTTGTGGAGCGTTGTATAAGTACCGACTGTAGTGTGACACATGAGGCTAATGTCCGAATCACTCAGGGACGCATGGGCTAATCTGAGACACCTATGGCGGTAAAACGGCATAACTCTGAACCCCAAGGGACATGTGTATCAGGCTGTAATATGGATTGTTTTGTGCAGCTGTGACCCGTGGCTTCAGCGAGTAGTCTAACCTAGACCTCTTCAGGTCTTTGACACAGCTCATCACCGTTACTGACTGCAATAGGTCAGCGGTACATAATGGTGCTTAACTACCGTCCGAAGAGGCTGGAACTTAACGTGGTGCAACGGTTCACGTACCTCAGTAACCCAACGAGTTGTACTGGAGGGTGCTCGTGCAGCATCCAGAGCCTTGTCTAGCAGGTTGGTCAGTGGATAAAGGTCTCGCCGTCTTCCGGCCCTCCAGTTTAGAGATTGGAACAAGTGTGGCAATCTGTTACTCAAACGCTGACCTACTCTAGTAGTCTGAACCATACCACCGTTGCTTTGCGGTTAGACTTTTTGAGCCAATGACTTTAGTTGCAGACCCTAATAATCCATCTGCCTAGGTTCTATCGTCCTGGCATTATTTCCGCCTACAAACAAACATGAACTTCACAAATAAAAGAACTACCGCTCGTGTAAGTTGGTGGCGGCAAATCCGCAACGAGACGGTTAGAAAATGAGTGTTCGACTGTACACTCACATCTTTGAAGACGAAAGCCGAGCCAAACTAACCACCATCGCATCATCATTTGATATGTGCCTTGCGCCTACAAAGTGCAAAGTCACGCTTCGGCACATACCGTCTCAGAAGATTCCCCTTTCAATTCAAGAGGCCATTAAAATTGTGGGAAATTTCTCCACACATCTGTGCTCCAGTCACGAGAAACATCCGGAACCAGCACGTATGACATATAGGCCATGTGCTTCCCGAAACATTGTCTACAGAGACTGGTGTTGTTCTCCCAGCCTCCTTTAGAATGAAACAAACTGCGACCTGCACCACGGGACTTGGCAGAAAAGTGTGGAAGAGACCAAGAAGAGTATGGGTGTTGTTGGTGCGGTCCATCTTTCAGGATGGGGTTTCCGTGGGCCTGGTTGGAGACATTGTAGGAAATGACGGCTAATCGATGATGGTAGGGTTTACCACTAGCAGTTTCCAGGTTGCCTGACTAAGTGCCTGGAAGTATAGACATCTCAGAATGCATACAGGTGCCATAGGCGCTTACTTCTGGGTAACCACATGCTTCAGTGTGGATGGACGAATGTTACACGAGGATAACAGGATGTGACAAACATCTTTATGTATCTCCAGTTTACACAGCCATAGCACCCTTCCGGTGCCCAGTTACCATGTCCCCGAAGGAAGCACGAGGGCGGGGATACTGCCAGGCCTAGACAGAGGAAGTCAAGATGCAGGTATCGGAGTTGAACCATGGACCCTCAATAAATTGGGGCTCTAACCACAGAGCCACCTCACCCCATAGGTTACACACCATTCTAAAGAACATTGTTCATTATTCAACTCCAGCGCAAAGCGAAGCTTACGACGATCTGATTTCCACCGGACAACAGTTAACTCATTTGAACCGACCCAAAACAATTTTGAAACGGAAGACCTGGGGCTTGTCTACCACAAACAATCCGGATAGAAACTGATAGCATGAACGCCACTGAGATTAGTTGACCGCACAAACAGCGAAAGTGGACCACTACCTATGAAGCCAACAGAACCAATAGCATTCAGACTTTTCAAAACATCCCACATTCCCTTCTACCGTAACAAACTCCGTCGAGCTTTAAGTTTCCGTCACTTCGAATCAGGCGTCGAAAACAACGTCCCTCTCGTCAAACGGAAATAATCACCCGTAAAACACGGCTCAATCGCATGGCCTACGATGCCGGATGCCGTTTTCGAGTGAATTACTCTTTGCTCCGCTAAAAACCTGTCCCCGGATCATCTCAGTTAGATTCTGCTGGTTTTAGTAGACTCGCAATATGCTTCTGAGACAGCTGGAATCAAAGGTCTGAGGTTCCGGTCAGATTATCCGGCCAAGTCCCGCGTATACAACACAACCCGCACGCGTTTTTAAGACCCAGTGACATACCTTTTTGATGCCACAAGAGGCACGAAATGGCGGACATAATCCTGGCTTTCGAGACTTGTGCAAACGAAGGGTACGGTAAAGTGAGTGAAAAGACAACGGAGAGGGGAACAAGGAACGGATGAAACATTCGGTAGCCCAGCCGGTCAATCATGCAACTTTGCTTAAATTCCGTGAACTTAGGAGAACCGATGTTTCCCGAAAAGTATGGTCGCAATACGGTTAAAAGTGCTAATGCGTTCTGATACATGTCTTGTCGTGTTAGATTAACCACCCCCTACCGCATGTGGGCAATTTTTATGTCTAGTGACGGTCTTCATTGGGATTCCAATACAATTCGTTGAAAAAAAATGGGCAACTTATAAAAGTCCTCACTGAGAGTGTGGCCTTCATACGAGGTGCTTTACAAGAGGTGAATCCAGCTGGACTCATGCGATGAATAAATCACCAACCGATAATGATCGTTCGGACGGTACGAGTTAACCAACCAGTGCTTACCTTCCTTAGAACCGACAGTATTGAAATAGCCGGCGGAAAATCCACCTGTAAATGCGCCATGGAAACGAAGTGGTCTTCCTCTCTCGTTCAAAACCCGCTGTTCGTAGGCAGTTGGAACGGGGCGGCGTTTTCCATACTGCAGTGCGCGAAACCGTCCCTCGTCTTTACATTACCAAGCGGTTAGTTAGTTCAAGAAGGTGGATGGAACATACCAGTTTCGTCGTCACTGAAAGCCGCTCCATAAGTGACCCAGTTGTCACCTTCCTCACCCTCGTTCCAAGAGGCCATTTTACAATACGCAGTTGTGGGTATAGTTATTCATTTAATGCTCTGAAAGAAAGAATCAAAGAAGTAAAGTGGAGGATCATGTACTACTATGTCTACGGTTGAGCCACCTGACAGTCAATCCGCGAGTCAGCGGCAATTAAGTAACAGTGTGCGTTACTGGTACTGCCGTTAGTGAGACCCGTGTGCCTCACATAGATGACACAGCAGCAAAACTACTGTTGAGACAGTAGTGGGTCACTGTCGTGCAGCTATTCCAATTCATATGATAAAACTCACGGTGTGTGGGGGTTAAAACAGGGTAGTACTATCTTAACACAACCTCCAGAGGTGAGTCCACTTATGACATTACGCAGAACAATCCTGGCAGGCTGATCTCCACTGACCGGCTTGATACCATGCGTTCCAACGCCTCTAGCCAAGCATACAGGTCACGTGGAGCCAGAGGTGAGCCATACAAACATCACCCAAATTTTTCTTAAAACTCACCCTCTTCCGCCGGGCCATACATTGTCTGTTCCTCGATTGAAACCACTCCATTTCATTACAGAGAACCAAATTCTTCTTGATAAGTGAAAACTAGGCAACTGTATCACACGATCAACCTACTGCCATCTGTGGCGCTGGGTGCAATCCTGAAGTGAAGTAACAGCCATATCACTCGTTCGATAACCAGACCAGTCTTTACTGGTGATTGAATCGATGCACCTGTGATTGAAGATAAACCTTAGCATATGGTTGCATAGACCACATGTTGCAAGTGTTGAAGCTTCCAACATATGCGATATACTACGTACCTTGTTCATGTCTGATTCTGAATTACAGGCGGCAGTTTCAATGTATGTACGTCCTGAAGCGTCACTTTAAAAGTAACGGATGTGAACTTCATCACCACTATCACTGACAGCACTGTACTGATGTCTAAGTGCCACGAGGAAAGTCAGTAAAGAGTGGGAAAAGAGAAAAGGATAGGGGCGGACTGCGAGGCTATTTTGTTCTTAGAAAAGATTATCAAGCATAAGGTGCTTACACCCTTGGGAAGCATTACGCCGAATTAAAACGCCATCAGCGGCATTAATCCAGCGTTCTTCGCGCATAACAGCAACTAACTTTATGCATGTGGTTCAAGGCGTAGAGGACACAGCAAAGCTGTCACTGTTCGATCACTGATGTCTCCGACGCATTGGCCAGATCTAATGGCAACATCAGATTAGCAACGCTGAGATACACCATATAATTTTAGGAAAAAAGAACTCCATTACGACGAACGAGTTACTCACGCTCTAACACCTGACGGAGTATGAAAATGTGGTCAACGTAGCCTCTGCCTGGTCGAAATCCTACTTGATTATCACGGGTCATGCTACAGTAAGACGACGAAGAATCAGTGGGGCGAGAAGCCTTATCACAAAAGGAGTCACACTAACACCTCTGTGGTTACTACATTCACTGCGAGTACCCTTTTTGAAAATGGGCACCACTATCAATTCACCTTATTTGTCTGGGACGGTCTTTTTCTCCCAGATAAACCCAAATAGGCTAGACAGGTACTGGCTGAAAAGCTCGCCGCCATCCTTGTACACAGCAGATGGAAGGTCATCAGACACTTGAGTAAAGAAATACGCTCGGACACTCCTAAGATTGAATGCGGCTCCATATTCACAGTCCACCTGTGTGTCGCAGGCAAGAATTCCGGAATGGAGGTAGCAGGCGGCCAGCTTAGTTGTTGTTCGGAGTTCTGTGCTCAGCGGTCCAAACGTTCTGCTTTGCTGTATATCATGCAGCGATTTTCGTCTCTGATTATTTCGTTGACGTGAGATTTCCGAGGACCGGTCGAACGAATCAAGTGGAACAGCTTGCGGACGTTTCCAGCATTCTTTACATCTTCCATTTCTCCAGTCTTTCGGGTCCACCAAGCTTCTCGATCTGCACGGTTACTCAGTTTTACCTGCCATCGGGTGATGCGTCGGGTGAAGTTGTGATTACGGCCAAAAGAAACCGGCACCCGCTCTACAGCAAAAATGCGGTCCTATCAGAGATCCAATGTTTGGATGAGGTTGGCTGGGTTGTACCACAAACAGAAGTTCCAGTTTTGAGTAACTTTGGATATCTTTTCCCAGTGGCCGTTTATTTCCGAAATAGGACCGTCCGGCAGGCGTCCGACAAGTTGAATCTGTTAGTTTCGTTTGATTTCCGTGTCCCCTAGCTTCTCAGTGGCTAAGCGAGGTGTGTGCACTTTGCGTAGATCCGAAAACGTAACGAAGAGCAGCGGCATACAAATGCATGGTCGGAATCCACGCTGGTATTCCGGAAGGAGCTGCAAGCAGTGATCGACCCTCGCCATCGATAACTGACGGCGATGTGGTCTAGTTGGATTCGTGGCTGGTTTGTTGGTGGGCAACATGTTGTCAAGCGATTTCCGCTGTTCCGGAAATTTTTACTGGAAAGGAACCGTCTGTGATCGGCACACATCTGAAGCAGGTGATCTCCGTCGTCCTTGTGTCTCGTGGCCAATCCAAGACGACCACCCAATCAGGCCTCAGCAGCACCTTGAGCGTCATAGAAAATGTATTCGTCAGATCAAGAGCTGCAGTCAGTTGGGGTGTAAGCAGACACAATAAACAGAGTGCGATGGGCCTCATTTCCTCAAGATTTTCTCAGGTGTTGCCAAACGAACCGTTCAGAGGCACTAACGTACAGGCACTTCCGCGCGGTCGCTCAATGCAATACCCACCCCACCATAGCCAGCTGCAGCGACCAGATGTGCGGAGACGGAAACTGGAGAGCGAGGAAGCAGTCAGTTCGATCACAGTACTTGGGTCCTGCGTCCTTATTTCTGACAGACAGCATAAATGAATGCAGCGTACGAGAAACAGCCACCCTGCTTGCTTCAGTATGCGAACAGTAAAGACGGTTATTTAGTCAGGTTTTCGGGGTTTGAAAACAGTCCCAAAAGTGTTTAGGGTTGTTACTGAATTCGGATGTACAGAAGCTACAGCTAAATGTGATGCGCACCGAACAAAACGGTCAGTCGTAGTGCTGGGACCTGCGGAGAGAGTATTCAACCTTGCGTGGGGGTAGGGTGGAAGAGGGAAAACGTTAGTGAAAGAAGGGAGGTGTCAGCAGTAGCATGTACTCGCTTACCCACCCTGCTGTATGCAGCAAGGCAACACGGCCTATGGCACCACGCGACGACCGATGTGGCATGAGACTTTTGTTAGTTGTGAATGTCATGGTTGTACGTGGGCTGGGGTACTGCCCGGGCGTCCATACCTAGATAGGAGAATGATTGGGATGCTCAACCAAGCCTGACCACAAGGCAGCGGTGTTTGGCAGGAAATACGATTGCATTATCATTTTTATAGAACAAGTCGCCACACGTGTTCTAATCCCCAACCTGGAGGACCAGGAGTCCATGTTCGTCAGATCTCTAAGCATTGGCCAACCTGGTTTGAGAGACTCTTCAAGGGTCGCGCGGTCAACGAGGCACAAAATCCGTCACATCAAGGCCCAGTCTCTTTGTGACGTTCCGTATAAACCAGGGACGTGGCAGGTCATTCCGAGTATTCTAAAGACGCTTTTGGCAACCCGGCAGTATCCCAGTCCTCGTGCTTCCTTCGGGTGACATGCCATTTAGGCCCCGAGAGAAAGTGCTACAGCTGAACGATTTTTTTAAATAATAGCAGCTTTCCAGAAGGGAAACACTGCGTTGTAAATAAAGGTAATCATTCAGCCGAAAAACCCCTTGCTGCTTATTTGCCACGGCAACAGAAGGAAGCACGGAGATTGGGATGCTGCCAGGTTGCCCAAAACGTCTTTAGAATACTTGGAATGACCTGCTACGTCCCTGGTT